TATATATACACTTCCACATTCACATTCAATTTCAGTTTTTCCATTGACTGTATGTTATCTTTAGTATTTGTTCTAAAATTTGTTTTATCTTATTCATGGTAGAGTAAAATATTTATTGTTGTTTTTTTTAAAACACTTTGAATAACCTATAAATTAAAACTGGAACAGCTGGCAACATCAAACATTCCCTTTTAATTTTATCATAATTTGGTTTTAAAGTAATACCTTGATCCATTATTAGTGAATTTCTAACAGCTCTATCTACAATAGTTAGGCTAAATACTCTTTCAACTGCTACATATTTCATTAGTAACAACTCATTTTTTAAGTACTCTTGTTTTGTTTACATATCTTTAAAATTCTGTGAACATAAGTGTAAAATGTAGACATTTTTCGTGTTTCAGTATGACATGATTCTTGTTGTGGATTTTAAATTCTCTTATTCATTCTGTTTTACCAATACATCTAAACATTGTTAACCTGAAACGTCTTTGTTAGATTAATTATGTCCTACTGTATACTTAACATATTATTATAAATCCACAGTCTCACAAAATTACTTATCAGAGAACTCGATGCCATTTTAATATGGACTGTGTTTTGAAAGTGAAAAGTTTAGTGTATTTTGCAAACAAGCATGAAGCAGTTTTTATATCTATTTCCTTAAAAGAGAATTTTCTCTGGATAAACTTTATTATTTTCATATTTAAAAAATAGATTATTTTCGTTTATAAATACATAAACTATTACAATTATGAATGCCAGAAAAAGAAATTATTATTATCGATTTTGTATTAGCTGAACATTTATATTTTTGGCCACTGTTTCCAGGCCTTGGTACGCACACATGTGGTTAAATGATGTAATAACAACAATAAAAGTTAATCTTCATACTATTTTGATACAAGTTAAAAAGATGATGACAACTTATATGAAAACAAAAGTTATAACTAGTTCAGTGAGCTTTCTTCTCATTGATCAATTTCCTAGAACTGTATCCAGAAGTCCAGTTTATATATTATACATTGCACAGGATCATCCAAAAAGATTCTGTATTTCAAAACACATATTCTTTGTAAGACTATTTTATTATAAATCATCATCTGACAACACAATTGGTCGAGTTTTCCTACTAAAGAACCACAACATCTGTAAGTAACTTGGTTCTTTTACCAGAAGATTAGGGGTTTATTGTACAAAAGCACACATGGTTACTGTTCCAATCATGTTCCTTCTTCAACAGCAAGCATTTCTCCACATTCCTCCTGGTGGCTCGTCCAGTCTTTCCGCTGGCAGAAGACACTACAGTAACTGACACGATGGCATCCTGTACATTCGTGGAAAGCTTCTCGGTTACAGTTGTTACATCGCTGTAATATAGTAAAACATTTAGATCTTCAATTTTAACCACTAAAAGATTATGAAACATATATAAGTCTCATCTTTTGGTAAAAATTTAAGGCTTATTTTCAGCTATTCTGATGTAAATCTTAAATTTTTAAAACGTTTATGATTTTCTTAGGGTTTTCTTCCAAACAACTGCATCAGAAAATTATATTTTTTTTCTCACAAATTCCAATAAATAAACCGGTTCACATGACTTATATTGCCTCTTAAGAGTTTTCTTCTGAATACTAGTGTTCAGTATTATTTACCATTGCATAATCCATACACATTAAAAGGGTGATATGGAACTATGGGTAATAATTTTTTTAGATATGTTACAGATGAGGATTCACACGAAAAATTGGCTGAAGAACCTGCTTAATATATATAGCTAGAAAACACTGATTTAATAGGTATGTAAACAGAACAAATAAAAAAACATTGAGTTCCTTTATAAAATTAAGTTTCTATGAATGATGCACATAGATTGTAGAAATTCACAAAAAATACGGCTTTTTTGAAGTCTCTCTCTCCCAGGGGTAAAATTCTTCTGGTACTCACTTATTTTTTAAGGCAGTACTAGTATTTGAGCTGCTTTTTTAGATGCCCATGCATTTCATTGTTCCATCAGAAAGCATCTATTCATTGTCACTCAAATTGTTGTTTTTTGTTTACAAGTACATTTTTTCTTCTTCAAAACAGGTCCATTTCACCCAGTTGAGTATCTCAACTTTTTTTTTAGAATTTCACCCCAGTTCCTCCCTTCTTTATACTTCTTAAGGAATTTTAACTAAATCCCAAATAGGAAGGAATTTTAGGGATATCTGAAAGCCTGAATTCTGTATAATTGATATGCAAGCTTTATGCAAAAAAATAATTTATATGCAAATACCAATAATCCTTTTACAAACAAGCTTAAGAAACTCAAACTTTTATTTTGCTGTGAGAACTAAAATCAAAAGCCAACAAAGGATATATATATTTTAAACTAATTAGTTCAGCCTAGAATTTAGAATTAGTGGTTCATTATTTTACTTTTTATGAGTTTGGTCTGGAAACTACATATTTTGACTTCATAGCTAGTCTTCATTAACACTTATAACACAGACACAAAACAACCTGATTTTCTCTAAAGACATCTGTTATAACTACCTGCTTACCAGAGAATCATTCAGACCGTCTAAAGCCAATTTCGGGTGCTTCGTATCTAAACTTACTTTTTTTAATTATTAATTGTTAAAAGATGTAAGTTACCATGTAACTGTTTTATTTTCTAACTGAAAATTATTTTTATCTCAAAGCACAACATGAAAATTTTGTCTCTTTTTCTAACTGAAAATTATTGGAATATACTTTATTCATATTAAACCACGTTTAATTTGTGACTGCTTCCTTGATCCAAGATTCTATACAAGAGACCAAAAGCTTATTGAAGGAAGTGCTATATTTAGCAAAAGATATTTCAAAACTATACTTGAAGGTCTCATACTCACACACACAACAAAAAAACCCTACTTAACAATTCAAGAAACCAAAACAAATGCAAGCATATAATACACATCAAAATTACATGCAAATCATTCATGGTTCAAAGAGTAATGGTTAGAATTTCATTGCTATACTTTGCATTTTACAAATTGCAGGTAAGTTGTACAAGTGCAACATTTCCTGAATATATATAAAAGGTACGATCTTAGTGACTTGCAACAGTACTATACTATTCTTCGTCTTTGGTAATTTCAATAGGCAAGCCAAACCTAACGTATTACACAAAATCAAACAGTCCTGTCCAGTGGAAATTTTACTGACCATGGGCTGTTTTTGCAGTTATGAAATAATGAAACTATTCGAAAGCGCTCGAGTTTTGGGTCTTATTTTAAGTTTATTACACTTTATATGTGATCCTTTGTGCTAACTCTTTTATCAAGAGTGGGAAAGTTATATGGTGGTGTTCAATGCTCTTTAACAATCTCAAGAAGTTTCTCATTGTTTGTTTTAGAATTTTGCACACAACTCGTAGGGCTATCTACACACAGACGTCCCTAACTTTAAACTTATAGACAAGAAGGAATGGAATCAGTCAAGAGCATCCACTGCCAAGTCTTGGACTACACTCGTCTGACTGAATAGTGGGATTTGACTGTCACTTTTATAGCACACCCACAGCACCAAAGTGCTCATCAATGAGCCATGAACCTGCTGATTCAAACTCCAAGTATGCTACTTGTTAGGCCATACCTGACCCTGTTTAGCATAAAGCACCAAAAAAGAGAATGAAATGCATCATTTGATGAAAACTGCTCAAAATAGTGTCCCTCCCTTTCTTTGTTACAGTGACTGGAGCAAACACAACAAGAAGGTGTTTGTGAAAAAGTTGTAATATTTTCATTGAGATTATCTTAAAGCCATTGGGATTATTTTAATTATAAAAAGCCAACAGACAGCAACAAATAAAACTGATTAACCATGAAAATAAAAAAAGCATAAGACTACTTACAATAGAATTTTTCACCACAATGAATTATGAATTCCTAATCAAACAACTTTTTTTTTAAGCCATATTAGAGTACAACAAGTATTAATCTTGTGTATCAGTAGCGCCCCCACGTGGCACAGCGGTATGTCTGCAGACTTACAATGCTAGAATCCGGGTTTCGATACCCGTGGTGGGCAGAGCATAGACAGCCCATTGTGTAGCTTTGTGCTTAATAACACACAAACAAACAAACTAGTATCAGTGGAGAAAAAAATTAAAGATATAAAAGAAACAACGTAAGTGATAAGCACTGACACAAAATGAGTATTACTAGGAACCAAGTTCAGTGACTGTTATTAAATGTGTGTAATACAAAACCTAATTTCATATACATGTGATATAGCAGTGTAATATAAAATAAACTACTGACTCCCATATATGTTACTGTAATATTTTTATCAATCTGAAAAGTTTATTATTGGACGTTGAGTCATGATGAGACACGTGTAGGGCAAATTGCAAATTTGTATGTTCTTTCTGAAAGTTGTTAAGATTTCACATTCTCAATAATTTAATTAAAAGTCCTTAAGACCATTAATATAAACACTTCTACAAGAGAAACCAAAGTACATTTCCAATAATATTTCGGCACCCATAAGCCTCAGCAAGTAGCGTGTATAGGAAGACATCCAAATTTACAAGGTAAAGATGAGGTGACTACTTTTACAAAATGTAGAGTGGTTACTGTTCCTACATCACAAACATCTTAACTTAGATAATGAACAAACATATCTGAGTGAGAAATCCTATTGAGGAAGTGAACATTACAGTGCATCTTCAATAAACGACAAACTTAAATGCGACATACTGACGAGTGTAGACTAATTAGAATACAAAACAAAGATACCTAAGCCTACTAAACAGTTTTTCTGGAGACTGATTGATAAATCTTTCTTAATAATAAAAGAGTACCTTATGTTAAAAAGTGTTAAATGTATATTGAGTTTCTTGATAAAAAACTATGGTTGCTGAACTATAAGACACAAGAAATTAAGGTGATTACTTAGAAAACTGCAACACTAATTTATAGCACTAAAATTAGTACCATTTACTTTAACTTAATGACTTGTTTGTTTGATGCGAGAAAATGGGATAAAATCGTTTGAAAAATGTAAAAATTTGTCTGTCACTGATAACTGAGTCCGATCAGTACCTTACACTTCTTGTTTTTACTAAAATAACCAAATTCGTTTGTTTGTTTGAAGTTAAACACAAAGCTACACAATGGGCTATCTGTGCTCTGCCCACCACGGGTATCGAAACCCGGATTCTAGCATTGTAAGTCCGCAGACATACCACTGTGCTACTGGGGGGCATAATCAAATTTATTAGCATTATTACTAATTCATAAAGTTATTAACTGACTGATTTTATTTGTGCTAATTTGTTTAGCTTATACTGATTCTGGAAGATAAGAAAATTTCAATTATGAGACTGCCAAACAGCTACTTATAAAATGTCTGAATAGACAATAAAACAAATACTAACAAATATCAGTTACAGCCTTAACTTAAAAGAGTTAATAGTTATTTCATTTGCAACATTTTTATTAAAGATTTGAAATGCTGAGTATGAACTAATTAAAAAAGAGGTCAAACAGTCATTCAATAAAATAAGATTTACAGATACGAAGTCATGATTTATTCGATCATCTCATGCAGCAACCAAACATGGACATGATGAATCACTTCAGCTCCAATGAAAAAAATTAAACTACCTGCCAGATATCAGGTTTTTGATAAATATTCTATCTGTGTGTATGTGTGTGGCAAGAAGCAAAGAGAATGTCGTGGGGATTTAAGGTTGAAAGCATGCAACCTGTTTGAACTTGTTTAAGGTCAGTCGTAGTGTTAGACCAAACCTACCAATAGCTCATGAACTACAAGTGGTAAAACCTTCATTTAAGAGTTCACAGCATTGAAGAAATGTAAGGATCATCGTCAATGGTATTGTCTTCAGCTTGGAAAATGGCAGTGGTCTCTCTCTGATGTTTTTACCCTGGCTTAATCCAATCATTGACCTGTGCAGCTTTGTGAGATTCAATATCATTAAATTTGCTCTTGACAGATTATTTCAAATGTTTTCTTGTAATTCCTATTGTGACCACATCACTTGCCTCTCGTATATTTACTTAAACATCTTGTAATTCAAATACAGTGAATATTTACTCCTGCCGGAACCCTTCGTGCAAGACTTATGAGCTAAATTTCTGTTGAAATTTCAGGTACTACTAGAGTTTGTTTTTCTGTCTTCTTGCAAGAACTTTTGTGACTATAATAGCAAAACATTTTATTGTGATGTTGTACGTCTGCAGCATAGACATCTTTAGGATGTATTGTAGTGCTTAATTTCACTTTTAATGAGGCATAATTTTTCCTTTTATAGTTTGATGAAGACATTTCTGAGCATTTTATGTAGCCACATTGTGCAATGGGTTCCTTTTTTATGCTCTAACTATCACCAGAAAAGTGACAATCTTTGTTAAAAGGTATAGATTTTGATCCTTTGAATAGCAAAGGTTCAATACCCGAGATGGAAGATCTATAGAGATGCTTCAAAGTTCTTTCTTGCATGTCCCCCTTTTTTAATTAGTTTTATTTTTGAAACAGTTTCTATGACATGTTCCCCTGATGAGATCAGTGTCACTGTGTTTTCATTTACCAGCCTTGCTATTTCTTGAAAGCCTCATTGCCATACTTGGATCTTTCTGTAACACACTTCGGAACCTCTTTGTGAGAGGATTGGCACACTTTTAGATCTGCTGTAGAGGTCTGACAAACTGTAACTGGTTGTGATATGAGGCAGCTTTGTGCTTGTGCAGTCTTTCATTTTACCTTTTCAGATTATACTGTACATACTACTCTTTACAGTAAACTAGATATTCCTCTTTCTGAAGTAAAATATTTGACTGAGTAACAAAACTGTATGTTGCCAGTCCCAAGCACCTAATCATAGCTGTAATGATCATAATGTTGGCCTGATAAGAAAATATTCCAACCCATAGGAAAAGGATCCCAGGTATATTGATTAACTGTTGGCTGGTGCATCTACAGTGTAAACTTACATATAAAACACTGACCATATTACATCAGCATTACATTTAGAGTTTGTTCACATTTAGACATATCATTGGCATAATGATGTAAGTCATGATATTGTCTCCATGTAAACCTGTCTCCACTGATGACTGTGATAATCTATTGTTTCTATGGATATGACATCATGATACGTATAATACAATGTGAATGTATATGTACAATTCTAACAATTTCATACATGAATTTACATCAGTCTTTATACATTTTCAAAGTACAGTTGCTAAATATAACGATAATTAAACAAACTAAACAGTAATCATGGGGAGAAACTACAGCAAGAAAACACAACGAAAAGAAAAAAAAAGAAAAATCAGTAATACGAACATATTAAAAAATGTATAATTTAAATGAAGACCGCATGTTGTTCAGAGTTGGAAAGTGCTGTTTGATGTGGAGGGTTTCTTTGATCAAT